ACAATGTGTATCCCATGGCTAAAAGCTGGGGTGTATTTCAGTGTGCAGCTTGCACATTTTACCCTTCCCACTTTCTTTTCATACTGTAACGCATGTCCCTCTTCACTTAAAAACACTTCAAGAGTCGATATTGATCTTCAAAATTGCTTGAGCAAGTAGGTAGAAGCTGCTCATTAAATATAAGATGCGATATTAAGTTATCCATCATGCGACAAGCGGGCTGGTTACAGACATCTGAATGCAATGAAGTTGGAGAGTGTTTTTTCCACATACTCTAAGCTCAGTACAAGCATTTCAGCAGTTCAATTTTGAAACCGGAAGATTAGTTCCAATATGATTTAAACTTTATCGTGGAAGTTTTTATTAAAATCAGTTGTTATAAAGTTCGAATTTGCTTCCTTTTTTTCAATGCCAGTGATTTTTCTTTTAGATATTTAGGTGGTTATTCTGACTCTGAACTTGCTCTGAATGTTAAAAATACTAATATACTTCAAAGCTAATCTTAAATATTTTCGTGGATGCAATATAAGATACAGAAATAACACTGAGAAAATACAGCTTGTTAATTATGATGTGAAATACACTGTCCCAAATTACTTTTGTCTGAAGTCAGCATGTCTTATGTGTAATAAATATCGAACGCTTTGCAAGTGTCTCCTGCCTTGGTCTGCCTGTGCAGTTTAAACCCCTGTATAAATTATCAGTATTTATTTTTATAACCCTGGATGTGAAAATGGAGTAAACACAACTCAGTAGAAAGTTCTGGTTGTTTGTTGGTTTTGTGTTTTGTTGGTGTTTTCTTAAGAAACCTTTTTCTTCTGTGGAAATATCAAAGCTTTGTGTTTTGCGCTGATTTCTTTTAGCAGCTGCATAACACCAAGACAAATAAGTTTTGTCGTATATTGTAAGATACACAAGCCATTGTTCCACATTGTTAGTTCTTACTTTGAAGTTCTCATTTATTGTTTACATCCTTCTCCCCCTTCCTCGCTTCCTCCCTCCCTCCCCCATGTATTCATAGGCTTGGAAAAAACCCTGGCAAGCCACAAGTACTGTTTTGTCAAAGAGCCAGAAAAGATCTCTGATGGATGTTAAACCTTCAGGATGCCACCTCTGGCCTGAGGGCATTCCCTGTAACAGAGACAAGTGAACAGTGACCAGTAGTTCAAAGCTATCTCTGATTAATATTGTAAATCTAATTATTGATTTATTTTGAATTGGGTATTTAAATATTTCTACAGACTTTTGTAACTGGTGACAACGTGAGTGTTTCTCTTCTGTCACGAAAAGCTGAGATACCACCTTCTGCCCCATTCCCCAGGATTTATGACAGTTGCAGATCAGACTATCAGTTTAAGTTTCACAGTTGTTGTTTACATTTTCGTAACACCTAACCCATGCTACGAAAATACAAGACAGTGATATGATGAAACCCCATTTTCAGTAACTATTTACTGCTTTTGGTGGTGTTTTGTTGTTTTAAATTAGGAAGAAAGTGTGACTAGGCACTTAAAAGCAGTTCTGTTGATACCACCCTCCATGGCTTTAAATAACAGGGACAGCACAGATGTTTGACATCAGTGTTGTTTACATGGCCTTAGGGTTTAATTGCCTCATACTCTTTGTAAGGAGAATAAACAATGACAGAAATCCAAAGGAATGATGTGCAGGCAACAGCAATGGCTGCACTTCATACATAGTTGCAAACTCCTCAGCTATAGCTAAATATTCTTGGTTTAGTTTTGTTTTGGTTTTTTGTCTGAGTGGTACCATGCCAGAAACTTAATGTTCTCTGTTGCCTCTTAACTAGTAATAAAAGGTATTAAACCCGACACGCGTGAGTGCAGTTAACTGCTTCTAACAAGGCGAATGACTTTTTTAAGTCGTTTTTATCTCTTTTCCTCTAAAACTTAGGAAGGTTTTTGATACTATTGGAGGTTATTTTGTTTCTCAATATGTTTTTAAAATACAGCTGAAGTGCAAAGGGTGAGGTATAGAAGAGTAGCACATAAAGTTGCAGAGCGCTATTCCACAGGACATTGAGGCTAACTTAGCAAATGAGGTTTGACATTTAGTAACTACAGATACGTGGTATGGTTTTAATTTGAAAGATAACTCCTTTATTGAAATCAGTATTTCAAGTATTTAAACTTTGAAATGGAAGGGCAGAAGCTTCACTCCCAGTTGTGATGAGCCTATTTGCTTCAAGCCCAGCCTTCGTGAGATCACTGAAAAATGTGTTTACGTGACTCAATTTTTTTATCTCCATATGTGGTGAGATCAGAATTCCATCTTATGCAAAGGGTGGGTCAGAAAGCAGGTTTAGAAATTCAGCCAGGACTCCAAGCTTTCCTATAGGACGCTGGTTCGTTGTATGGATGTTTCTGGCTTTTCCAGCAGTTCCAGAAGTTGAAATGTGAAGATATGTGTGTGTCTTGGAACTATGGGCCATTATAAACTTTAAGTGATGTTGGAGAATCTCCTATTTTGTTCTATTCTTTTTACCAGTTACTCATTGTAAATACAACTTTCCTCTTAAAACCAGAAAAGTCTGTGTGCACGTCAACTATTGAATTTCAAGCACATAAGTAAATGTGGGGAATCTCCTGAAGGGGCAAAATCGTGTGAGTTGTGGATGCAGCAAACAGGGCAGTACAAAATGTCTGGGGTGCTGAAACTTAAGAATTTCATTAGGTTTATAGAAGTTGAGGACCGTGAGTGCTTTTGAAGGTGTCACCTTTTGAGCCCTCAGCTGATGAGGAGTTACTTTTGGGGATTTTTCAAGAGAGAGAGATAGTTCTTTTTTAGTTTTATTTTTAATATTAAAAGAAAAAAGTAATTCTTTTGTTATTACAGTGTTTGCCTTTGGTGAGAGCTGACTCGTGCATCTCGGGCACAATATTCACATTTGTTGTTTGGTTGCAACTCCTTTTGGAAAGCAGTCCCAAAACCTGTGCAATTATAAGGGTTGGCTGTTCTCCTGGGAGTAGTGGGATGAATGAATTACATAGAATTGATGAGAACTAATGCAAGACTGGTGCTAAGTGGAAGGTTAATGACCAGAAGTGGGAGCCAACTTCAAGTCCAGGGATTTCTGCTGTCAGCCTGTGGCAAAACAGCTACAAAGTTGAGACCAGTCCCCATCACTTGAAAATACATGTCCACATTTAATACAAGACAAATTACAGCTTTTGATTGATTTTTGTGTTCTTTCAACCTATAGAATAATAATATGTGGTCCAGATTTCAGCTGATGAAAACCACTGAGTACTAAGGTACATCAGCCAAAACATTATCATTTTATTAATGAGTTTAAATGTAATGTGTTTGTGTGGATTTAATAACTATGTGAGTGCAATAGCTATACATCAGTAATTCATAAGCTTTTAATGTAATTCAAGTAGATTGGAGTCTCTTTCATGTTTAGTTTCTAGTATTTGTGTTTTTACAACACCTTCATATTTATTTATGGAATGTTCACAAACTGTCTATGTGGAAGTAGATTGCTGTGCTCTTCTTTAAAATCAACATTTATTTATCAGCTGGTACTAAGGTTTTCTTCTATAATGTCACTTTGTTAGAGGGATATATGCATATATTTCTTTTCATATATACATATGAGTCTTTTTCATGAATAGAACATGCATTTTATTGTGATGCTTATTTTTGGCTGATAAAAGAGGTGGCTGACAGCTGAGACTATGATCTGTTTTCTTTGGATTAATTGTCAAAGCTAAGTTCTACCCCCCTGGATAATTTGCATAAGACTATGTACCTATTTAGTCTGGGGAGAGAGGTAGCCTCTTTATATGCAGTGTAATAAGCAGGCGTGTACTTTGGGTATCAGTGGATGTGAAGTCTGGAAATGGAAAGAATTTGCTGCTCTTCCCGCTTCTGTTTTCAGTTCTCAAGGAATATCCTATAGTTATGGCACAGCATTTTCCATTTTCAAGTTGGATTGACTTGGATTTCTGTAGCTCACATTTTCAAGTCACAATAACGTAGTGACGTTTTCAAGTCAAAATGAACAAATATAAAGTAATCATATGAAAGAACTTAATAACTTGCAGTGTGTTTATTGTTTGTACATTTTTAGATAAAGATTCATTCTTGAATGGCTACTTTTGATAAGTCAAATAAAAATTAAGTCAGAATGAATAATGCTTTTCTAAAGCAAGGAGGTTGTTGGGATGTGTCACTCTGAGGAGGCTTTTCTGTCCACTTTGCTTTGTGAACAGAAGCAATGATTAAATGTAGAACAGGAATAGCCTGAATCTGAACGTGAGATGTTGCTTTGGTTTTCTAGACAACAGAAACACAAACTACCTGTCATGTTTGCAGTCCTGAAGACAGACATAGGGAAAATATGCAGGAGATTTAAAAGCACCTTAAAGATGAAAACTGGGACTGTAAGAAGTGGCAATGTATTACTGTGTCAGAGGGTTCAAGTACAGTACTTTGAACAAACACAAGCAAAAGCAGGAAATACATGTTAGCAATCAAATTCAGCAGTGATATCCTTAATTCCATTATAAGTAACCTTGAAAAGGAAATGTGTTGATAATGTGGATGAATAATAGAAAACAAACAAAAACAAACATGCATCTGGGCTAAAGGACATTCTTTGTATAAATGTGACACCTGCCTAAAGACTAAAAGCGAGTTTACCATACTTGGTATATTAACAGAAGTATTAAAAGCTTCATTCTTAAGAGTTTATTTAAATAAAGGACAATAGCTTTTTCTGGGCAGTAGCAGTTGGTTTTGTTGCCAACTAAAACATCTACATTTAGGTTGACATCTTTTCTAACAGTTTTAGCAAAGAAATGTGAAAATACCAAGAAAATGAATATAAATTCTTTCATAGGAATTTTTTGTTAGTGACTTCCCGTTGCCTTCTCAACGTGTACATGAATAATTCAAAAGTTATACAGAGGTCTTTAGTGTAATTTTTTCTTTATTTTAATGAAGTTATATGTCTGTCTTTTTTGCTTTTAAAGCTGGACATTAAAATGAAAATAGCGGAAGGTAAATTTCATGAAGAAAAGCTTAAGTTACAGCAGAAGCATGATGCTGATGTTCAAAAGGTAAGAAGTGCTGGTATTTTTTCCAAAGGTAGTGCATTGAAATAATGGAGAATCTGACTATAACAAACAATTAGCACTTCAGCTTCTTCACAGTTGCAGTTAGTGTTCCTTTAAAATAAGATTGTATGTAACGATTTCATAAGCTGATAGGAATGCAGGATGTACTATGATAACATAAACTTAGGAAGAGAGAAACACGTGTAGAAAGCAGATGAAAATACGAGGTGATTTGTTTATTTGTTTGAACAAGACAACCTATTCTACCAGCCTAACAGCTTCCGTGGGTTCGTATGCTGATGAAATAGAACCCCCTGATTTCTCTTCTAGCGCTTGTATTGTAGAAAGTGGGAACAAAACCACTTAATTGAATTTTTATGGACAGAATGCAAAAATAGCAGTAGGAAAATCCACAAGTGTATCCCATGTGTTCCTATTAATGCAAAGTAGGGCTTGTTCTTATGTCTCCATTTTGACACTGTATCTTAAAGCATGGGCTGGTCAATAAACAGTTCGTTATTTATGTTATGGCATTGTAAAAGCTGTATGTAGCTTTTAATTCTTCACAGCAATAAAATGACACCAGATACACTTCCTTTGGGTTAGGTTGGATTTGTCTTTATTGTGTTGGGTAACACCACTTTTGGGAAGATTATAGAAAGCCTCTCAAAGACCATGCTGTTACTTTTACTACCATGTTTTATACATGTGGGATAAAATACAGTGAGGTCCTAAGCACCTCTTGAGCAGTCTGATCCCTGTTAAATGCTCGGCGTCAGGGTTGTGGTGACTTACCCTACTGTAAGCTTTGCATTACCGAGTACCTCTTGTGTTGTTTCTTAAGACTGAGTCACAGTCTTGGAGGAAGCGAGTTGACACAACACTATGACACATCAAAGCCTCCTGAAAGGATGTTAATATTTGCTCAGGTGCATATTTGGCTCATCTGTTCTCAAAGTCTGCAAGCACAACTGGCTAGCAAAGCCGAGAGCCTAAAGGAAACGGCTTCGTGAGAATAAGAAAGAGTTTTAAACGCTTTCTCATCCCTGGAGTTGTCAGCCTTTCCTAACTGATGTTAGAATCCCATCTTTTGAAGTTCTTTAATAACATTGGATAGTTTAGAAAAGGTTAAATAGTGTCATATTAATCTTTCAAGACACAAAACATTTAATGCAGATGGGGTAATATTGTTTTAAGATGAAGGCTTCTGTTGATGTGAGATTTGGGGCACTGTTATAAAATTTCTATGATTTTCATGTTTATCTGAAACATGAAGTTTAAATTAAAATACTATCTCAAAGTGTGCAAATCTTCAAGCATTTCTTTATCCCCCCAGATCAGCGTGTGCAGAACAGTGGATGTAGTTACACCTCATATACCTGCTGTATTCCCAGCCATTGTTTTGTGGAATACATGCAGTTGTGGTTGGTGAGGTATGAAAGTGTAATGAGTTCACCAATAATTTGTTTCTTAAACCTGGTGAGATTTGTAGATGCTGTTAAATAGTATTAGGCGACACAAGAATGAAAAAGGAAACAAATCCTTTCTATTTGCAGCAGTAGCACTGTGAAACTTCCAAACTCAAGTAATGATGGATTTGCCCAAGTTTAAAAGAAAACAAATAAACACCCCCCTTCTGCCCCCCCAACACCTGAGTCTCCTTTTTAATCAACTCTGCTCCCTACATTTATCTAAATCAATCCTTTGTTTAGGACTTGGCAGTTTTAGCTGTGAAAATGAGATTTAATCACCTTGTCCTGCTCAAGCTAAGCACTTCTTGAAGGCAGCTCCTTTGACAGAGATCAGTGTCCATTATTCTGTGCATTCATAGTTTAGGAGGTTTTTTAATTTCTGTTAAAGTAC